TGTCAGCGAAAATGCCACTCCAGATCTTCTGTCTCCCTGTCTCTCTGCCCCCTCACCTCACACTGTCTCTCAAAAATAAATACTTTTTAAAAATACAGAAGTACAGGGGGCTACATGAGCATCAAAGGGGACCTAAATGGGAGTCCATAGTCCTTTGGTTAAGACTTGAAGGATGAGTAGAAGTCAGCAAGACCAGAACGATAAGAACGGAAAGTTCTAGGCAAAGGCCTGGAGTGAGAGCACATTCCAGGAACTGAACCACAAACTGGAGTGTAGCTGAAGCATTGCAGAGATACAGCTGAAAACATTAGCAAGATAGACGCCCTGTGAGCCAATGAATAATTCAAGCCTTTTGCCTAAGAGAAACTGAAAGGTTTTAAGAGAGGCACAACCAGATGTGCACCTCAGAAAACTCCAACGCATCAACCAACAATAGAGAGCACCAACGGAAGCAAAACAACACGATAGGCTTAAGGGCAATACATAGATGAAAGAGTCTGGACTCTAGAAGACCCTTCAAAAACTTTAGGAATGTTACACGAAGAGCTCCGGATATTAGAAGTACATCTATTTCCCAAGGAAGAGAGAGAAGTTGTAGTCATGTGGAAAGGCATCTTAGGGCCAAAATAAATGGAGTTTTAGATGGGAGAGGGGCCAAGTGCGTCCTGAGCCATTTGAAAGAGACAGTGGTTGAAAGGCAGATTTGGACTATAGGTGGAAGGCTTCATATGTCTAAGGAACCTGAAATATGTCGCAGAGAAGAGGGACAGCCATTGAAAAGTCCATAGCAGATGAGCATGCTCGGGTGGTAGCATGATGAATAAATCAAAAGGAGAAAAACTGGGCCCAGGAGAGGTGGGAGGCTTTCACAGTGCTCCAAGCATCGCTAATGTAAACACTAGCCATGGCGATTAGGCAAACAGATTTGGCTGATATTATAAAAGAAACCAGGGTGGAGTTGAAACGCCTGACTAAATGGTCGAGGGGGACAACAGGAAGGGTAGGATCAAGGTTACAGAAAGATGATGTGGTGTGAAGGAAGTGGGCTACAAACTGGAAAATTATAAACATCACTATTACACACACATTTCCTCTAGTGTTATCACAGCGCAGTATAAAGTGTGACTGACAGACCAGCACTGATCTGACAGCTATCTGTAATCCAATCAGTACAGACAATTAGAGTAAGCATTTTTTCTCGAGAGTAAGCATTTAGCAACACTGGAAGTAATAAATGAATTTAATAAAGTTGCAGGATACAAAATTATTATATAGTAATCAGCTGCATTTCTATACAGTAATAATAAAGTAGCAGAAAGAGAAACTTTTTAAATAATTCCATTTACAATTGCATCAAAAAGAATAAAATAGTAAGGAACAGACTTAACCAAGGAGGTGAAAGACCTGTACTCTGAAAACTACAAAACACTGATGAAAGAAACTGAAGATAACACAAAGAAATGGAAAGTACTGCATGTTCATGGACTGGAAGAATTAATATAGGTAAAATATCCCTACTACTCAAAACAACCTACAGATTCAATGCAATCTCTATCAAGATAACAGCATTTTTCATAGAACTAGAACAAATAACATAAAAATTTGTATGGAACCAAAAAAAAAAACCCAAACAGCACAGCAATCTTGAGAAAGAACAATTCGGGAGGTATCACAATCCCAGATTTCAAGATATACTACAAAGCTGTAGTAATCAATGAGTATGATACCAGTACAAAAACAGACACATAGACCAATGGAACAGAATAGAGAGCCCAGAAATAAACCCACACTTACATGGTCAATTAATCTATGAAGAAGGAAGCAAGATCCTGGGTGGCTCAGTCGGTTAAGCGTCCGACTTCGGCTCAGGTCATGATCTCACGGTCCGTGAGTTCGAGCCCCGCATCGGGCTCTGTGCTGCCAGCTCAGAGCCTGGAGCCTGTTTCAGATTCTGTGTCTCCTTCTCTCTGACCCTCCCCCATTCATGCTCTGTCTCTCTCTGTCTCAAAAATAAATAAACATCAAAAA